TCATGGGGATTCGATTTCATTGTTAAAGAACTGCATGTACTTAAGCTGTACCTTGCCATTCTTATATTTTGTGAAGTGCATGAATTTGTGCATCTCTTCATACCACAAAAAACAACGAAAATAAAACCCCCTCAAAAAAGAGTGATTTTACAGTAAGCCATGTACAGGATCTTTGCATGCATTTTAATTATTGCAAGCATAAAAAGTCAAGAAAATGTTTGCATCTCTAAATGCACAAAACAGCATATTATTCAACTTTATAACTGGCAAGATTAAAAGTAAATTGAGAATGGATAAAAAATATTCTACTTTGTAGTCACATAGTCTCTCACAGCATCCTGAATTCTACATGTACATACATCATAGCTGCAAGAGGCATCCAATAGTTTCTGGGAGAAAAGTACTCAAATTTGAATATTTCATCCTACGATGCCAATGCTGACAGAAAATGATGCTAACATAGAAGATCCATACTGTATAACATATACACAATATGCTCTCCCATAGCGTCCCATGCAGTAAAGCAATAATTCAATTTATCCATTTTACACAAATTAAAAGTCAAATTAGTGAATTTTTTGCTAAATTTAGATGTCATTTCAATTCACTGTAAGAATAGTATCTAAAAAGGAAAACATGTGTTTAACCACTCCTTAGCTTCCTGTTTTAAACATTACTTCAAAAAGTGATTTTCATTTTTACCTGTACTTTGGATTTCCAAGTGTGGCAGATTACATCAATTCCCATTCATGATACAAAATAAATTTCTCTGAAAAGAGATTTAGAGAATAAATTACTGGCTCAGGTCAAACACAAGACATTTATATTGCTTCAAAAATCTTTTTACTGCTGAACTCATTTTAACTATTAGTCTAGAATCTATTCTACAATTTACCTGATGCATTTTTCAGAACTGAACACCTTGCACCTGCCTGTAGCTCTTCCTGTATGTTGCTTGGCAGCTGAAAAATCTATTCTCTTATTAATGAGTGTGCATTTTTCTCATTATGAAACAAACATTTGATATTGACATAGTCTACAGAGGGGAGGAGCTGAGAAACAAACTCTCTGTGCAGTAATAAGTATGGCTGATTTAACCACCCTAGGCTGTGGACTGTGCAGGGGTTACAAATGCAAATATCCTTAAGTACAATTCATTGTTGAAAGTTGTTTTCTTCTGTGAATGCAAATTTACAGCAGAAATCAATGTGGTTTAGTTTCAAATCTATTAAAGAGGCTGTTCAATAAACTCAAGGTCTTTGGAAAGCCTTTGCACTTCTTGATTCATTGTAATATGACAGAAATCTTTGCTGTGAACTTTTGTTCTAAAGTCTCAATATGACATCCCTCCTTTAACAAAGATCAGCTTTGTCATCTTATAAACATGACTGTAGTCAGGTTCCCGAGACCCCTCTGCTTTTATTACAGGGAACCTGACTAATATATATGTAGTTTACATATCTGTTATCTAAAGTTATTGTTAAATGTCTTAAAGTTAAATGACATTTAACCAAAAATTGTAAAAGATGCCATAGGCATCACAGGGGCTGTTATAAAATCTTATGCTTGATTTTATGTGATAGCCTAGTGATCAGGTAAAATCAAGCAAAGGAATTAAAATGTTATACATACCAGCCCCTGTGACAGGCATAAAAAGTCTGTAGGCCAACAGTACCTTGGCAACGACTTTTAAATCAAAACGGAGGAGAGAGGTGGGAGAATCAAGACTCAAATCGTTTGAATTTACCCCCCCCCCTTTAAAAAAAAGGTGCTACGTCCCTTTTATTATTGATCAGTGTTTCTTCATCCATATATTTAATTTGCTTAAAAAGGAGCAAGGTATTTTACCTACATATAAATACAGCCTTATATAAATGTACCTCATTTGCATCGTGTTTGAAGACAGCAACAGTCGCCCGCGTGGCGCAGTGGTTAGAGCGTCTGCTCTAGAGTTGCGAAGTAAGGAGTTGATCCTTACGTCGCGGGTTCGAATCCCACTGTGGGACGTGGAGACCGGTCCTTCGGATGATACCGTATAAACCGAGGTCGTGTCGCAGTAGGTGCTGGCACGAAAAAGATCCCTCACTGCTCAATGGCCGTAAGTGCCGAGTATAGGACAAAAATTTGCAGCTCTCCACCGGCAAGTGGTGGCGTCTCCATATGAGTGAAAAATTCTCGAGAGGGACGTTAAACAACATACAAACAAAAAATAAAGAAAGCAACTCATTCTGTACTGAAAAAATACCCGCCTTTTCTACTTACAAAAGCGGAAGTATGGCGGGAAAGTGGGTCTAGACAATTTGGGCCATGGTTCATTCCATTTATCAAAGGTTTATGCCCAAAATGAACAAAAATCAAAGAGAAGAGGTTTTTTTTACATACAATATTGTGCATTGTTTTCAGAAAACTTGATACAAATTTAACAGCAATACAATGTATCGTGGGATACATTTAGTTTTTTAATTTACTTTCATTTTGATTCAAGGACGTAGCATCATTTTTAAGGGGGGGGGGGGTATAGAAAAAATCGAAAAAACTTGACAAGCAAAAAAAAAAAAAGAGAGAGAAAAAAGATGTGTTTGTGAAACACTATGCCCCCGATGGTAACACAATTCTGGAGTGGGACGTAGACTACAGTGCAATAGTTATGGCCAATGTTAAAGTTTTTCAAATGTAGGTCAAGGTCACAGTTGAGGTCACATGATCAAAAATTTCTAAACCAATGGAAAGGTCTTGTCATAATGAATACTCATGTCAAATATTAAAGCCTTACCCTTGACAGCGCAATAGTTATATGGGCTAGGTTAAAAGTTGACAACAGACAAACAGGACAAAAACAATATACCCCCGGGATCTTTCGATCCAGGGGCATAAAAAAGGAAAACTGTACAAACCCGAAAATACTATTTCGTGGGGGTGGGGGTAGGGGAAGGTTCCAACTTCTTTCAGTACCAAATTCTATTCGTACACTACATGTACATTACCCTTACAAGAAAGCCTACATTAATTAATGTTAATTAATGTATATTAATAGGATCAATCTATGTGTTAAAAAAAAATTAAAATGCGTAATAACGCCTTTTCAAAAGGCATATTAACATGAAAATAATGCGTAATAACGCTAAGTGAAAAGGCGTTATAACGCCAATAACGCGAAAAATTTCGGATGGTTTCCATTTTACAGAAGAATCTTTTTCTCTCGTTAGTATTTATGTAGCGAAGCCATGGCTAGACGTAAAATCATTTTTTCTGAATAGAAAACAATTTATGTTGAAATACAGGTAATCAGAGATTACAAAGATCATCTCGACGCATGTTATCTATAAGTATTGCAAAGATTCACACCAAATGCAGGCGCTGATCAACTGAAGAATTTTTTTTTCCAGGGGATGGTTCCATCCTCAGTCTCTCCAAACATCCAACCCAGAAGTTTGTTGACAAGCCAAAAAATAAACTTAACTTCTTTCCCAAACGTGAAAAACTATTTCTTGGGTGTGTGTGGTGGTGGTGGTGGGCGGCTGGATTTGAGCCCCTCACCTTCACTTTTTAAGCTTCATATATGTGGCTCTTTCTGCAAACTTAACAGGGATGTACATATTTTCAAAAGGGAGGGGGGTCAAGGTCATTTTTTTAATTACCTCACTATATACATTTAATAAATAACTGCAAATTTGGGGGGGGGGGGCATACCCCCTCCCCTTTTTCTCGATCCATGCATGAAATGAATGTTGTAATGTGCATCCCTCCTTTTGGTACTACCAAGGAAATGGTCAGATCCAAGAAGATCAAGCAAGTCTGATAGTATGCATCCCCAGATGCATCATCATACAAGTTTGGTCATTTTATGACTCATACAAATGTAGTTCACTTGGGAATGACTTGCCCCAAAAACTTTAACCTTCTCATCAGATCCAACTTCCAAAGCAAGTCTGGTAGAGTTACCTCTCTTTTTCACATATGCATACCTGCTGAATCTTATTTTTTGTACACTTCTTTTTTATTCTATTTACTATAAAATATATACAGTTGAACTTCAGTATCTCTAACACTGATATCTCAAATACCATGGATATGTTGAAGCAATTTGGAAGTCCCAACCACTTACTGTTTAAGTATTTTACCCTCGATACCTCAAATATTTGGACATCTTTTTTCTAGGCCCCATCGAATTGAGCTTCTAAATCACTTTGATATACTAGTATCCATGGTACTTGAGATATCTGTGTTCTAGATACCAAAGTTCAACTGTATTCCTTTATATTAAACTAAAAACACACTGACTTAGCAGAGTACATTTATCATCAAGATTTGCACTATTAATTTTTATAATGGCATACAAACTTTGTTGAGACCTTCATTAGTATATTAGTACAGGATGCGGGATAACAACGAGGCTTTATCACTGGTAGCAAAGTGCTATAATAACAAAAATTATATTTATGTTTGATATGTATGCATATACTATAGGAGGATATTGTGTAAAATTTATTTAAGGCCTAAATAAATGATTTCATTTATCCACTGTCTATCAAAAAGAAAAATGTAATTCAGGTAAGCATCATGGCCCAATACCCAATTATCCCCTCTTATGGTGATAAGAAGACTACACTATAATATACTTTTTTCATTCAATCACCTGCCAATCTATGTTTCTGTTCCTAAAATCAGCTTGCTCATGATATTAGCATCTGAACATTCAAATTGTTCACTATGTCTCTAGTTCTGACATGCTAAGTTCATAATTATTTTAACTGAATACAAATGCTGAAGGAAACAAAATTGAATTGGAAATCTTTTATTGCTTTACCTGCAAATAATTTTCCTTATATCCATGAATATTTCCAGAACAATTAAGAAATAAATAAAGTAATCCAGAAAGACTTGTAAAGTAATTAGGTAAACTTAAATAGGGATGTACCTAAAATTTTTCTGTTCATTTAGTATCACAATCCTGCCATTAGAAAGTGTAATTTATCTTATAATAAAATCCAAGATCAAAATTTGAGAGCTAAAATGTTTTATTGTTAACTTTTCACAGTATTTAACTTAGCCAAACCATCAGCATATTGAAACTGATCACTGTTCTCATATTCACTGATATCTAGGGCCACAATACAACTCTCTTTGACCACTCGTTCATTGTCCTTCAGATAATCCTCCAAAATCCTGGTGCATTCTGGGGTAGCAATGGACCCAAGGGCCTCAGCACACTCATGTCTCACCATTGGGTTTTCCTTCATATTTTGAAGATTTGCCTTCAGCTCATTTACGCAGGCATCACTCTGAATTTGGCCAAGGACATATGCAATCTCATGGCGAAAGAGGGCACTGCTACTCTTGAGACCTAAGGTTTAACCAAAAGGAGAGTTAATTTTTTTATCATATACATAAAAATAGATTTCCCAATCAAATTAGTTCAAAAGGCAAAGTAATATGGAGATCATACTGGCACAAAACACACCCAACACATTAAAGTGAGCACCCACATGTCAATGCCACATATAAACCTAAGTTAATTAAAAGAGAAATCAAATTCTGCTTTAGACAAGACTAACACCCCCCTCCCTCTCCCACACACACAAACACATACTTCATTATGCCAAGACAAAGAGTTTGAAGACCCATCTCTCATTTTTCTTTTCCTATCTGTGTCCTAATTACATGCAAAACTAACTCATTCAAAGATAAATCATGATGATGTTCAAAATATTAACCAAACATGTAAAATGCATGTGCATTGCAATTAATTGGAGGAAACAAATTAATATGATCGCATTGTGTAGACAGTACCAAAAAACTTTTCAAGACTAAGACAAGAGGCCTAGGGGTCACAATGCTTACCTGTGTCAAATTACTGTTCTTCAGGAGATTTTAAAAAGATCGTTTTCTCCTCCTTGTTCAGATGAAAAATTTTGAGCCCATAATTATGTCCCCACTTATCCCCAAGGGCCATGTCATAATTGAATCAAATTAAGGAGATGCTCCAATTTCAATATGACTAACATGGTCTTTTATTCTGGAGAAGATTTTTTTTTTCTCCTGAATAATGTATAAGATAAAAATTGATCCCCAATTTTAGCCCCACCCTAACCCAAGTCCAAAACTTAATACAAGAGACCCGTGAGCCACAAGCCCACAATAGTTACTATGGCCCTTCTGTACTTCATCAATGGATTCTTTTCCCCATATATTCTCATCACGTAAAACCTAGATGGCACTTATTGTGGCCCCACCCTACCCCTGATAGTCATAATTTCAACAAAATTGAATATACTCTACCTGAGGATGCTTCCATATAAATATGACTGATCATGGCTTCTCTGTTCTTGAGAAGAAGATTTTTTTTATACATTCCGATGTGAGACTTTGATGTCCATAGTGGCCCCACCCTAGCTCCCTGGGGTCATGATTTGAACAAACTTGAATCTACACTATGTCAGGAAGCTTTCATATAAGTTTCATCTTTTCTGGCTGCCCAGTGGTTCTTACAATTTTTAAATGGCCCTATCCAATTTTCACTATGTATTAATTACCAGTGTGTGGTCTTTTATTTCAACGAACTTGAATCCCCTTCACCCTAGGATACTTTGTGCCAAGTTTGGTTAAAATCAACAAAGTAGTTCTGGAGACAAAGATAAAATAGTCTATATTGACAGCAATGACAAATTTTAATCAGAAAAGCTCAATTGAGCCCTCGGATCAGGTCAGCTAAAATGACATGCATTACCTTTTGCCAGTGCTTTTACAGCTTCCGTTGTTCCTAAATTTCTGAGTGAAAACATTGCCCTGTATCTCTGAAAGAGAGGCAGAGATTCATCCAATAAGATATTTTCCAGTTCAGTGATTTCCATTTTACTTGTAGATGGAGCTGGGTCAACAGACTTGTAAGGATTTGGTAACAAGTTCTTCTCATCCTGCTGATTGTTTAGCCAGTTTAACCTCTGGAGAGCTAACTGGCAAGTTTCTGCTACCTACAACAGATGTAAAATTATTCATATTTAAAGGAATGCAAATGAGAATCTGAATTACTATGCTCACATTATAGTCACATAATACTCAACATTGCTCTCTCTTGATGAATTAAGCATTCACAATAATTTTGCCTTTCTTTTCACATAATGATTCTGAGAAGAAGATTTTGAATTCTGTTTGAATTAAATTGAATTTCCCTTACCTATAAATGACATGTGGGAAGTGTGGTTACAATTTGCCTAGTACTGGTTGTTTACAAGTGGTAAAAGATGTAGAAAGTTAAAAAGCAGGTGACAGACAAATAATAAATGTACAACAGACAATGGAAAAAAAAATAATCAGAGAGTGTTTCAAGCTTACTTTCAGCTCAAGCGAGATACAAAAAAAACCTCAACCAGTACATGTATGTACTAACCAAAAATCAGATCTATAGGTCTATACTCTACATTATAGACAATGTTACATTACAGATAGTGAAAAATCAAGTCTCAGTCTAGGCTTGAATCCAGGGCCTCTAGCACCATGCCAGCAATCTTTCCACTGAGCTATTGAGATCTGGTATTTTGATGGATTTTCACACACCTGACAACCCAGTGACATTTATATAATGCCTTATGTTGATATGTATTATACATTACATACATACCTCTATGACTGGATCATTTTCATATTCCTTTAAGACACTGATGGATTCCTGAGCTCCAATGGCCCCTAGAGCCTCACCTGAAATCATATTAAATACAAATTTATATATGACCAAAGATGTATAACACTGAAATAAACATACTGTGAAAATTACATCAGATCTATTGCATTGACTTTAACAAGATACATCACTGCAGGTATTATCATAGTGCAGAACAGAACCAAGAAAAAATCTACTAGTGTGAACCATCTCTAAGTAAGCCATCTTGGGCTGACGTCTCTTTAATAGATATTGAGCAAATGTCCGACATAGATTTAAGTTACCACAAATCAGTCCTGCCTCACCTAGGGCTGAAATGATACGCCCCCTCCACGATACGATACTTATCGCGATACTTAAATTGTGTCACAATTCAATTTTTTCAATACGATACATTTTAAAAAAGAAACAAATTATAAGGTTAAATAAAACATGTATTCAGATTTCAAAAGGCAAGTAAAAGGTAGTGATACAATAAAGACAGAGTTGTCCCTAAGACATGGGGGCCGGGTAATTTCCCTGCCTATAATGATGTACTCCCCTGCTTATCCTGGTGTTCCCCTCAACCCTCTTTTAGGAGAGGAACAACAGAATCCCTTCTACTTTTTTAATGTCCCCTGCTATTTCAATTCTTAGGGACAACCCTGAAAGAGCACTATTTGTGCTTCTGTAGATTAAAAGAGAACTTTGTTCGTGTCAATACTAGCAGCATGAGCCTCCTTTGAAACTTTCTCCGTCGCCATTTTCTCCCTTGTGTGTGTCAAACCCGATCTATTTCAAGGAGTTAGCGAACCGGATTATTAAAAAAGTATCGAACCGAAAATCGAGATAGTGAATCAAACATAGAATCGAGCAAATATATTGAACAGTATCGATATTTCGGTAAATCTTTTCAGCCCTAGCCTCGCCATCACATAATACATGTATTAATGCAATATTTGAACCAAAATCAATATATTTGTTCGAGAGGAGGGTCAAAATGGTAGATTATCTGGCCACAGACAAAAGACTCATTATGACTGCTTATGGTATATAACCAGCATGTTCCAATCACAGGGACTTGAGACAATCTTAGCAAAATCGGGTATATAGTATAATAGGGGATTATATTATATTATATTATACTATTATACTATATACCCGATTTTGCTAAGATTGTCTCAAGTCCCTGTGGTTCCAATATTATCATGTAATAAAGTGCATGTATACACTGAACTGCTGAAGGCTTACCTGCCTCATGACGAACCATAGGCTCTTGGGTTCGATCAGCCAAAACGTGAGATAAAACACCCAATGCATATTTATCCTGCATTTGACCCAGACAATATGCTAGTTCATGTTTGAGAAGGGCAGATGTGTCGTCAAAACAGCTTGAAATAAAGTCTATAGCTTTTTCTCCCCCTATATTGCGTAAGGTAAATAATGCTCGGAATCGGTCTTTCAAAGGTTTGGTTTTGTCAACCAAAATTTTTCCAATTGCTTCGACAGAGTTTTCATTTGCCAAGGTTGTCATTCTTCTGTTTACGTGAAAAGATTGCTAGATCTACAAAGTCAAAGCTGTTTCACAACGTTTTACAATTTCACATGTTGACTAACAAACCGGATGTAAAGACGAAATGTGGTTTTCTCAGACAGAAGAGTCGTCATCTGACACACCACAGGCCTGACAGGGGCAACCCGGTAAATAAAAGAGGTAACCTCTTGCATTGTGCAAATCCTGACTGCAAAAAAAGTATACCTTTTATTTTCTGATGTCTGAACATGGGTTGAGTGTACTTTCACGGTGATAAATAGCTAAGAAGTATTGATAACCAGATATCACTGCATACTTAAAAATGGGGGGGGGGGGGGAGGTTACTTCACTGGAATGTCAGACACACCTCGGCCCACGGACATCTAGGCCCTGTGACACCTCGGCTCAGACTGGTCGGCCCAAGATTTAAGATAGGTCGACCACCCATATATAAGACACCTCGGCCCAAGCAAAATTTCATTAGGAAATATACATTTCCAATTTGCAACTTGAATAAAATGTTGACTGAAATGATCATGATTTTTTGTAATTCTAAAAAGACCTTCCACGAGCACATTGGCGATAATAAAGGAAAGAGACAACAATTGATTAAAGTGCTAACTGATAAACAATCAAGATGCCGCAGTGCATCCTTTGGAGTATCAAGCGTGTGTCATATTGGTGACAATGAGGGGTTAATCACTGTTTATTTCGAACAGGCTTAGTTGTGAGACAGTAATTAAGAACATTTACATCCACTGAATATTTTCTTCTTTATTTCTTATGAAAACCATTCCATTAATAAATTCATTAATATTGTTAACAGGTGCGGACCCAGGAATTGAAGCTGGGGGAGGGGGGAGTCGCAAGAAGTAGGCAGGGGGTCTGGGTATAATTATTCACGACCTTGGGGACAAGTTTTTGCTTGGGCCGAGGTGTCTGTTATATGGGCTGACGTGTCAATACTCTTGGGTCGACCTGTCAGGGCCGAGGTGTCAGGCTGAGGGGTCGTTGGGCCGAGATGTCTGTCTTCCCTTCACAGTTCACATGATCTACCTATCTATTCAGCATCCATTCAGACAAGTTTTGTGTAAAATAGGATGAGTCGGAGACGACAAATGTATTTTAATAATGAAGACAAAATGTACACGAGTTAGAATAATCTTGATAGCTTATATATATTGTCTGTCATTTTGAATAACAAATTTCAACCAATCAGACAAATCAGTTGAAAAATATGAGTTTAACATCCTACGTAGTACATTATATTGTACAATTAACCGTCTATTTCATAATGATAAAATGTGTATGTGTAATAGACTGAGAAAAGGAATTCAGACTCAAACTGGAATCTCTCTGTAACTATTTTAGTGCTATACTGTCTGCACTATTGGTTTGATCAACATATGAAATTCTTGTTATGCTTTCATGAATCCCTCTTTTAGAACCTTTCAAAATCTGAAACTTCTGCTTGCTATAGGTGACTGTCTTTAATGTAAGAGATTAAGAAAATTAAAGTATAATTTTTACAGATTAAAGTTGTCCCAGTTCATTTTAAATGAATGGAAAACCAACATCTTTATATTATAACTTTATTATTTTTTTAGGTTGTGATTTTGGAACAAATGTATTGAACTACCCCAAAGTTGCTGTAAATGCAATCCTTAGGGGGAGCAAGAAAACTTTTGCTATGCGTGAGGACTGGCTGACAGAAATCCAGAATCGAGAGGGCCTTATTCTACTGTTTGTCAACTACACGTTTTTCTCCATTGTTTCATTGATCTGCCTGTTGTTTGTACTATGTCTTACACATACAACTTCTCCTCCAAGTGATATAATGTATTCTATATCATTTATTGCTAATAGCTTTGTGCTTATCAACATATTGTTGGCTGATTATGTTGTGTATACCATAAACTCTCACAGAGAGATCAAAGTAATGTGATAATTATTTCTAAACATTGAAGCTTTCATCATTGGAAATATCTAAGAAAGTGAGGTGACCAATAAAAAAACATCGAAAGACCATGTCCTCCTCCAAGAATATCAAACAGATGATTCGGAACATCAGTGCCGGAGTGATCCAGATTGGAAGTCAGGAAAAAGCCGAACCCAATGAAGCACATCCAGGGGACATAACTCCACTGAGTCCATCATCCAAATTTACAGAATCTAACATTGATATCCCAGGACAGAATTTGATTAAATACATGGTTTTGTCTCATTGGGACAATATTTTAGGGCCAAGAGTCGTTCATGTGTGGAACATGGGATCCGGTTCATTGGATTTGAGTTTACTTTCACGGATCAGTAGTCAGGGCTTGAGTGGGGAGATCTGTCGGGATGTGACAAGTTTTATAGATCACAAACTCTATGAGATTCAAGACGCAGATGTTTTTGTGACTGCCTTTATTTTTTCAGCACTTGGTATTACTGGGCCCTGTGTTCATGCATTATCCATAGTTATACAAAAAGCAGACATGATGTTCTACTTAAATATTCAGCAGCTGTTTCAAAAGTGTTTTGAAAGAATTGTTGGAAAATTCAAAGTTATTCTAAGTCAGGTAATTTCTGTAAAACTGGTAATTTAGTTTACCTAATCCAAAGGCAGGTTCACTTTTCTGTTCAAATTTTTTACTGATTTGACCAATGTAAACTTTCTGTATGAAATGTTGAGCAGTAACTGTTGAACAACAGCTGGCCAGATTTGAATAATCAACAGGGTCTCTTGTTTTCTATTATCTAATGTGAGTGAAATTTCAATATTAAGGGAGAGATCATTTTTTTCAGGTGTCAGTTGACTCAACCCTAGAAAAAACCTACAAAGAATTTAGCGATCTTTGTCAGCAATGTATAGAAAACATAGGATGTCTTAAAAAGTCACGCTTTCCTCAAAAGATTCTGGTATGTTCAATATAATGTTCTTTCCTATACTTTAACTTCTACTTGTGACCATTTAATTTAATACATGTATATATATATATATAATATGGGTAAATCAAAACCGAGCATCACACCATCTATTGAACACCAATAAACAATTTCAGTTTCATGTTTAAGTCAGGTTGTAAACTATGACATAAGAGATCGAGTAGTGTATCATTACATCACTCCATTTGATGTAGGATATGGAAATGCCACACTGTGTACCACATGAAATTTAATTTTCTCATCTAGTATTAAATGAGAGAATTTTTTTTTTCACGTGATGTTAAGTCGGTTTGTTATCCTACTTAGTGTTCCTTCTATTCAATGATAAATTAATTAATAATTATTATTAATATGTCCACTGCCTGCAAGATTTTTGATTTTCAGTTGTCCTCTACATATCTATGCCCGGCTCATCATCTGGACAGGGATTTCCTGAGCTGTTGTATTAGTTCTCACCTTACAACGTTTGGTCGGAGCTTGGTAATAGGTGAAAAGGCAGATAATGTCAATATGGTAAAATAAATTTTTCCTTTCTTTTTCTTACATGATTCCTCTTTCAATTGGAAGATTATATTTACAGTCAAACTTCGTTATCTTGAACTTGATGGGACTGAGTTTAAAGCTCGAGATATATGAGAATTTGAGATAAAAAGGTTAAAAAACATAAAGAAATAGTGGTTGGGACTGCTAAATCACTTTGATAAATTGATGGCATTCAAAATATCGGTGTTCGAGATAATGAAATTCAACTGTATTTTAAAACTGTTTATTGTCATAGAACTGATTTGGATGACTTTTTAGCTCACCTGAGCTTTCAGCTTTTCTGATCACCCATTGTCCGTCCATCTGTCTGTCCGTCCATCCATCTGTCCGTCCGTCTGTAAACTTTTCACATTTTCAACTTCTTCTCAAGAACCACTTGGCCAATTTTAACAAAACTTAGTACAAAGTATCCTTGGGTGAAGAGGAGTGTAAATTGGTAAAATAAGGGGCCAAGTCCCCTTACAAGGGGAGATAATCAAGAAAAGACAAAAATAGGGTGGGGTCATTAAAAAATCTTCTTCTCAAGAACCACTGGGCCAGAAAAGCTGAAACTTATGTGGAAGCATCCTGGAATAGTGTAGATTGTAAATTATTAAAATCATGACCCCCGGGGGTAGGGCGGGGCCACAATAGGGAATCCAAGTTTTACATTGAAATACATGTACATAAGAAAAATCTTTAAAAATCTTCTTCTCAAGAACCACTGGGCCAGAAAAGCTGAAACTTATATGGAAGCATCCTGGAATAGTGTAGATTCTAAATTGTACAAATCATGACCCCCGGGGGTAGGGCGGGGCCACAATAGGTATATTAAATGGGGGGAAATCTGGTAAAGAACAGCATGGCCAAAGTTACTCAGGTGAGCGATGTGGCCCATGGGCCTCTTGTTTTGTGTATTATATTTGTTTTGTTTCACTGCAGATGCTGAAAACCCTAAGTTTGTTTAATTCGCCCAAAGAGAGATGTTGTTCAAGGCTTGTCCAGCAGAATGAATCACTTCAATACCATCATGATATGTGGCTACAAGGCCAGGTTCAGGTAAATACTACCACCGTACATGTATGTGGCTACAAGGCCAGGTTCAGGTAAATACTACCACTGTACATGTATGTGGCTATAAGGCCAGGTTCAGGTAAATACTACCACTGTACATGTATGTAGTTACAAGGCCAGGTTCAGGTAAATACTACCACTGTATATGTATGTGGCTACAAGGCCAGGTTCAGGTAAATACTACCACTGTACATGTATGTTGCTACAAGGCCAGGTTCAGGTAAATACTACCACTGTATATGTATGTGGCTACAAGGCCAGGTTCAGGTAAATACTACCACTGTATATGTATGTAGCTACAAGGCTAAGCTCACATACTGTATTCTCCATATTAGGTGCCCCTGCCCCTATAAGCACCCCCAAAGTATTTTTCAATTGTTGGAGAAAAAGGTCCCCCCCTTTTTACCGCCTAATAGTAAAATTTTCTGCCTTTCAGTATTGCTGGTGCAAAAAAAAAAAATAATAAAACACTTCTTACTTTTAGTTACATCTGATTGTTGATATTTTCTTGTGACAGTACATTGTAATGTCCCTTCATGCTTCAGAAGAATTCAGTTATCTTGCTTATTTTTCTCAGCATATGTCAAAAATGATATCATATTTTTCATTACAGCAACTGCATATTTGTCGTATTTATATTCATATTTTATATTTGCATATGTAACCGCCCCCCTTTTGCAATTTTGTACGTGCCAAGGGCACTAAATAGGGAGAATATACAGTAATACTACCACTGTATGTGGCTACTATGGCAAGTTCAAGTAAATACCATCACGATATGGGATTACAAGGCCAAGTTTTGGCAAGTATAATCATGTGGCTAAGGGGTTCAGGTAAATATCGACATGATTTGTGGCCACAATAAGGCCAAATTTAGCTACACCACTATGCTATATGTATTTGACCATGGGGCCAAGTTTAGATGAAAAACCAGCATGATATGTGCCTACAAGGCCAAGTACAAGCAAAAAATATAAGGGTATTTGGTTAAAGGACCAAGTATAACATTTCTTACATTTATTCAGAACTACAAGGTACAAATATAGGAAAATGTACTGTATGAAATTATATCTTAGAATTAGGTAAGTGGCTGTAAGTCATTGATATATCTAATCTTTTTTTCCCTACATATATAATGTGTTAGGTGTATCATTTCAGACTTCAGACCACCTTGATTTACCTGTTTCTGAGATCCTGTACAGTGAATACCCATCTACAGTCATAGACCTCTCTCAGAAGATGGTCCGGGAATCCCCCACCTACACAGATCATGTGACTTACTCCCACGATCAGCGGTACAATGAATTGATAGGTCTACAGTATGGAGATACAGAGCCCAGTATTCCTCAAGGGTAGCTTTGCATTGATATGAGCATATATATAAAATTTAGATGCGATAATTTTTTTAAAAAAAAAACCTCTTTTCTATACCAAAGCTTTGCTATAAATATGGATAAAAGGCTGATACAGAGCCACCATCTAGCTAAATAATTTTGAAATATATTTATAATCTCTGAAATATTATTGTTACAACATATATGCACAAATAAGTGCAATACATGTACATACTGACTAATTATGGTATCTTTTTGATTAGAGAATTGTTTTCGCTGCATGATAAATCAGACACATTGGTCACGGGACTTCTAGATGAAGTAAGTACAGTGGTACTCACACATTTCTGTCATACATTACTATTGATCCTGATACCTAATCATATCCCCCTCCTACTTCCTGTTCCTGTGTGCAAGTCAAAGAAAGTCATTATTAGTTTCTGGCCTTAAAAACTAAAGATTAATTTCTTTTAATTGGCCTAAAATCAATGGTTTTTCCCAAATACTGGTGGGAAAAAAGAAATGGCAGTTTGATATTTGTACTCATTGCTGTATCTTATTGATGATAAATAGGCAAGATTATTGTATATCTTTATATTCTCTACAAGGCCACCTTATACTTGAAAGATAGAAACACATGTACTAGGATGTAACAACATGGCTGAAGCATATCAGGATCTGTATCTTGATACAATGTGACTTATCATAGAATATGGATTGTGATATTTCAACTATCATAAAGAATTCTTTTTATTTAAGAATAAGCTACGGTTTCAATACAAATCTTGCCTTGTGTTTTTCTTAGAAATGAAAGTGATGGAAAAAATTAAAACTCATGCTTTCTGAATCAGTGAAATTCCATGCAGAAAGATCATACAAATCATTTTTCTCACATGACCTTCTAAATGCTAATTGTGACGTCATAAACTTGTGCATTTTCCTGAATTTTCTTAAAAAGTTGCAGAAGACACCAATTTTCAATGGAATTTTCTTTCAGATAATATTCTCCACAGGCGTCGCCCACGAAGACTTTGAGATATGTGATTTTTCAAAGAATTTTACACAACATATTTGAAAATGAAAGTGGGCGACGGCTGTTTCTTAAGGAAAATAACCCATGAAATGTGTCAATTTGGGGGGTTTTCTGTTTAAAATAGAGAAATGCATCAAATTAATGAAGTAATATTTCCAGAATGATACTCCTTCGTGCCATATTCTTTCATGATTTATTACAGTCATATACTCAACTAATATTTACGGTAAGCAAGTTTCAAAACTTTTTGAAAACATTAAATTTTTAGGGCACAATAAAGCTAAAAGCCGTACCTTCTTCTTTGTGTCTTTTTGTTCTGAAATGAGAAGCTCTCTTTTAAAATGACAAAGGATTAAAAAAAAACGTTTTAAAAAAGGAGGGGGGAGGGGCAGTGGGATCAGAAAATTATGAATAAAATAATAATCGATTCCTGGAGGTTTAAAAAAAATTTAGTCAGGCTATTTTTAGTCAGTCAGTTTGGAGAAAGCAAACTGACAATTTCTTTAAAGATGGCCTGATATTAGAACAAAGGGGAAAAGCTCTCAAGTAATGAGCCAATGATTCTTTCCATTCTACTGTCCTTTAGATTTCATTAAAAAGAAATTGGACAGAACTTAAGTACATTTAGGTGTACCGTGGCAAATATATGTCCAGAAATATGTGACTTCTTTGTATTTCAAAACTTCCATAGAATTCACTAAAATCCATTTGACATGTTCTGTGTTTCATTTAAAAGTTGGTAAATGATTGTCTCAGTGTTTGCAGTCAATGAATTTAAATATTTGCAATTTAAAAAAAAATCAGCAAACTATGAAATTTGGACCAATAACAGAGATTGGAAGGAATTTCAAAGGTTTTATTTTTACTTTTTAGCTGGACAAGCTGCCAGCAGAGTGTGGGGTTAGGGAGGCCTACATTCAGCAGTTCAATAGGAGTATACAACACAAGGCTTTATGTATCATCAAATACATTGAAGGGGAAACGTAAGTATGGTGAATAAGAAAAAAAATATCTTAATTGACTTTAAACAAAAGGAAGAAATATTTCAGTCATTTGACACCCAGTGGAACAAGTGGAACCAACTATTTTTGTAATTGTTTCTCTTTCTCTCTCTCTCTCCTGTACTTCTATATATGCACAGTTCTGATAATAAGAATTAGTGGATTTTGACAATGTATTGAATTGTGTGTGAAAAATAAAATAATTTTACAAAAAATTATTTCAGTCATGATATCAAATATTTGATGAGAGGTAATTATATTAAACCAAAAACTGAGAGTTAAGACAATGCTCCTGATTTTGTATTCTTATCAGTATACATGTTCATAGAGATTTTACAGAATAGGCACTGAACTGAGTTCACAGATGCATATATATTTTTTTTAGGAACTCTGGAACTCTTCCATTCAAAGGTGATATTAAGAAACTCCAAAAAGACATATGTATCCTCACGGAAGGAGACTTAAGGATCTATTTATCTGCTGCAGAGAGACTGAAACCTGGTTTATATTGGTATCTGTTTTCTCCAAAATATTCACGGGAGCAATCCATTCCTTCCACCTCAGCTCGACCATATGTTCGTTAGGTGGGATCATTTTCCAGGTTCAATATGCATTTGGTGGATAAAATAATCTTGCAGTAAAAATGCTGTAAAAATGAGATATTGTTTATTTAAAGGGTAACAACAAATATGAATTTAAAGCAAATCTGTGATTTAAACCATTGATTATAGATGAATAACATTTTCCAAGTGAGACATTTAGAAATAATTGTTATGGATAAAAGTGTTGTGTATAACAGTCTACGTGTACATTTTTTTTACGAGATTGTGCTTCTTTTTTCTTTTATGTAGGTAACAAAAGGTTTTTTTCTTCTGTTTTTTGTTTGTTTGTTTAATGTTTTTGTACCGGTACATTCCAAATATGTATGTTTTGGTTTCATCAATCAAGAAATGCACCAAGGAGCAAAACATAATAAACCTTAATGAAACTTGTTTATTGATTTACAAGACATTAATGTTGATTATGAGATGAAATTAAAAAAGATTAAAAAAAAAATGTTGAATTTCTCTGTGAGTATAGTTCCTTGGGCCCTATAATCTATTCATATAGAGCTACCATGGCCCTGGGGCACAGTGGATCAATCTGTTAGGCTAAAGGTCATCAGTGTGAATCTTGTTACGTTTATTTGAGTGGTATAAATATAAAGCAATAAATGATTCATGCATTTTTGAGTGCTGTGAATCAAATAGATTTGTATCAAAATTTTCATTTCGTGATAGTATGCAATGTACAGTAAATTATCGGAGTTATTATACTCATTGAAAAATGCATACTATCAAAATACTAATTCTCCTACAATTTTTGTGTGATTTCAATATAACTTGGTACACAAGTAAACTATACTACAAACCCTTAGAATGCGAGGGGGTGTGTTTCAGAGTATAGTATTTTGCTATATTTTCATTTAGATGCTGCCGCCCCCCCCCCCCCCCCCCCCCCCCACACACACACGTTTGTTGTTGTAAGGTTGAGCAGTGACAAATTCCAGGATTTGGACAGTAAAGAAGTTTTTTCCTTTTTTTTTTTTTGCTTGTCAAATTTTTGTTTGGAAGTTACATAATTCTTTATATGGGTTTTTGATTTCAGCGTTGCATTGCTTGCTAAAAATAGAATTTTCTTTGAAGTTCTTTTTAAACCCTACTCCTCACACAGTTCTAGTCCGATTTCAATATAACTGGGTACATAAATAGAATACACTAAGATACATAATTCTATTTATCGGTTTTTGATTTTGATGAACAATGTTTTCATGGTTACTACAAACAGAATTTTTTGGGGAAATTCTTTCAAAACTTTTGTCCAATTGCAATTAAACTTGACTCAGAAAGAGACCTAACCAAGGATTGTTATTAGGGCCCCGCAAGGATTTGCAGGTGCCCTATAGTAATCACTCTGTCTGTCTGTCCATCTGTCGTTCTTCCATCCACAAATTTTCTGTTTTTTTCTAATAACTTTTTTTAGGGTTGACCAATTAAGTTCAAATTTGGTATGTTAGTTGAATAGGCAGTAAGACATATTTTGATGCTAAGTTTGGTTCTCTATGTCATCTGGTTTGGAGCTGGGGTGGTGGGGTAGATTCCTTAACTTTATATAAAAGTGAATCGGCAAAGAGAGATACTAGTAACTGCTGAGAATGTTCCTATTGTAAACTATGAAAGGCTGCAATGAGTCTCTTGGGATTAATTAACTTTTCTCTTGAAGAAAATCCAAAGCATTTATCTTTATCTGTCACATTGAGATTAATTAACACCTCTGTCTGCAAATGAAGTTTGTTTTGAAGTTAAGGTCAATTCTGAATGATGTTTACATTCTCTGATATGTGGATTGAAATAATGTTCATACTTTATTTTGGTAAAATACACAATGAGTTATTTATGATTTTGTTGAAGTCTAAAAACAAAATAAAGATAAAGATATCTTTTTTATAATTATTTTCTTTTTTCTTTCTTTTTTCTGCCTTATATAAATTCAAGAATACTATTTATTTTAAGAGGTAATCAGATAATAACCTCATTCTATCATTGCTGAAATAGTTCTTGTTGTAAATTTAGAAGAAAAGGTTGAGAGAGCAGTATAATTAATCCCCTGGGATTAATTATCTTGCTGGTCGCAGAAAATTTTAAAGGGTTGTGTTTCTGTCACTTTAAGATTAATTAACACCTTTTTCTGCAACTGATGTTTGTTTTGAAGTTAAGGTCAAGCCTGGGTGATATTTGCATTCACTGAAGACTGGCATTTTAGAAAACACATGCTTCATTCTTCTTTAAATATACATTTAATTGAGTCATTATAGATATGATGTTTTTACTGTCTTTTGTAAATACATGTACGAGGAAACTATTTACAGGTTGTTACTTTGTTCTTCTTTATATATTTTTAATTTTTTGTAATTAAGTAAAATTCTCATCCCGTAATCTGCACCCTTATATTTCTACCCCTCAGCGGGGCCCTTGCTGACTGGTCAGATTTCTAGTTTTATTTATTGCTGTTGCCAAAGTTTCAAGTCTAAGTGCTACCTTTCTCTATTTTTTGTTAATTAAGTAAAAACCAGAAGAGCTACAGTCTTGTCAAAGAATTCTGGTTTCTTTTTAGAATCCATGGACAAAAAATATTGACTGATCCCCATGAAATTCTACCAGTAGCAGACCAACAGTGAAACACTATCTTGTACAAATACTGCATGCAGTTAAGAGTAACATTAAAAATTTTCACCCCTCAAAAATCCTTGTCGACCTTGGCCGCTGCGCGCCAAGGTCGTTGACAATGGTTTTCTTGAGTTTAAAATTTTCAATGCTACCCCCAACTACATGCAATACTTATTTTATTATACTGAATGTTTTATACAAGTACATATAATAGTGCATAAATGAGCAGTCAACATTTTTTGGAATATCACAGCGATGTTGACTGTTGCAACGCTGGTGGCGTGATGTGAATTCGTTTCATTATTCATTATGGTGTTTTTTAAACAAATGTTTCTCGACGAATGAGATTCAACTAATTTACATTAAAATATAATATAACTAAAGATGATTACATATTGGATATTCTACCAAATTTAAAACAGCAACAATAAATCCACGTACATGCACATTGAAAGTTAACTAAAGGTTATAATTGCATAACAAGCAATATAAACAGTGGGTCACCATCGCAGGTTTTATTATTATTATTTTGTAAAAATATAATGTAAAATGTGCTCATTACACATAAAAGTTCAACAGATATTAAAATTATTGATTAAAAGAGAGAGTGAGAGTGAATTTTCTTAGCAGATGAAGTTTGGCATACTGTGAAAGTGGGAGGTTTAATTAAATGAAAGAGGGGTTTACATGTACCTCTATCGGATATTTATTTCATTTTCATTTGCAAGAAGATTTCTAGCAAAATAACTTTGATTATAAAACTCTTTGAAAAACATCGCACAACACGGCTGTCGGTATTCCTAGTTTAGACCCAGGACACCATTTAGTGGAATGTACCCAATCTACATGCATATCAGTGATTCGTGGGCATTCTAAAAATCACTCCAGTTTTGTTCTGAACATATTTATTGCCTGACTATGACTTGCAAATACTTGAAATTAGTTCTTATACACGTTTAAGAATATTCGATGATATAATATCGATGTTGGTCATATTTGAAGAAGCTTATTTCTTTCTTCACCAATATCATGGTGCGTTAATTTTTTTGTAATGTTGAAAATACCACGGTGTTAACAGGCAAAAAAAAGTGGTTCTGGAATCCCCCCCCCCCCCCAACACACACACAAGAAAAATAAGAGCAAAGCATTTGCCTGTGCGCAATACTTAAAGTCATATATGGCGTATTTTTTTATAAGTTCGGGTAACCAAAATTAAAAAGACCTTTCCAGTTGTTTTATTACTTTATATAAAGACAGGACTTTCCTGTAAATTACACAATTTAAATCAATCGCGTTTCTAAGATATAAAAAATTTAAAACGATTTATTTACCAACTCCACATATAAATAACCGACAAATTTAAAGCCATTTTACCTATAGTTCTAAAGGTTATTCAAGCTCAAAATCGGTGAAAATTTTAATTTGAACGTAAATAACATATATCATGAATACTTACACTCAGTCTCGTATTCTTATTTTTCAAGCTCAGATACGCCATACAAAGCTTTAACCATTAGATACAATTATGCTTTTTTTTTTAAATGTGACCGGTAATAATAATATTTATATATTTTTTTATTAATACTATAGTATCTAGATATGTTTACTAGCTCATATGCAACATTCACTTTGAACACGAACATTTTTAAGCTCATTAAAAACATTTAACTTGCGCACATGGTATTGATTTTTTTTTCTAGCAATGTGCAATCCAAAACTAAGCTAAAAAGGGACTTAGAGTTTCTTTAATACATTTGATGACTTAGAGATTTTGGAGTTATTTGCCGAGAGGAATCGGTCAACATCTGGCATAATACTTGTATAACCGTATAATCGGACAAGTTTTATTAATCCAAAATTTTAAAAATAAAAGAGGGAAAATGTCTATGAAAATAGCCCCTTTTCCCCATTTAAACATTCTAAGTGTTGATAAGCATTTTGAAATTTTGATGATATATGCAATGTGTGACAGGCTTACATAGTGATAAGGAATGTCATTGTTATAGTCTGGGCACTTGAAAGGCGATACTTTTAATTTAAATCTTGAAAGGAGAAAGAATTGCGAAAAACGTAATGATTTGTCTTTAGCAAATGAGGCATAAATCCTTATAAACGTCTTAAAATTCCCATTTAAAACATATAATATCTGATTATTAATTTGAAATACGGGGATTTGAAGAATAGCAAACGGCATGTAAAGGGATAAAACGGTAAGTCATGTCTTAAAAAAACTGTTAAATCAATATTGATAAAGGTAAAGAATTCATGAACGATCTCTGAACGTTAGTAGAAGAATACTTAATATTTTATCTGCTCTCTCTCTCTCTCTCTCTCTCTCTCTCTCTATATATATATATATATAATTAAAACGAGCTATGAAGTATACTTTATTAGAGAAAAACGGGGGAAAAACTGACTCCCATCATCGACAATGCAAACATCTTTGGCAGATATTGATGCACCGCAGGAGAATTCTATACATCATTCTGAAGAATTCAATACATTATTGTTCTAAACCAATCACGCACATGAGAGCAAACAAGTTTTGTTTAAGATACATGTACCTTTAAATTTAACATAAAAAATTAAGTGTTTTATGACAATTTCAACTCATCTTTATTAAAGTTTTTCCCACAGAAATGTAAGTTTTGAATTACCAATTAATTACCACGAATGTATTGCGACGCAGTTTAGCGAGATTAAATTCCCATATTTAGGGACAAGGTTCATTCAAACAAAATTTTCAACTTCATTATTAAATTTAACCATATTTTCATTGTACCCCATTGTTATACATTTTAACTTCAGTCACTCATAAATAAATCTTTAAGTGGATTACAAATACTTTAGTTCCTTTTCTTGGCAGGGACCTCACAGAAGATTAAAAAAGGGATTCGACAAACAACAGTATTCCCAATTGCTTATTCTGTTGACACTGTAGAATTATCAGACAAGAAAAATAACTTTATTAACTCGTCCAAGAGGAATAGATGTGTTGTGTTTCTTCTTCTGGCGACTTGTGGACTGAAGTGGTGTACTCTACCC